GTGGTCACAAAGGACAACAGGGGAACTTTTCAGGGAAAAATCCAGCAGATCCCACCTCAAGTCACAGAAGGAGGTCAAAGGCACCAGTGACAAGACGCAGTCACAGCTGGTGTCTCCTGATAGGACCCACCAAGAAGGTTACACCCAGAAATGGAATTCTCACCCAGAAATGCAGCGCCTGAGGCTAATCGTGAGGAAACAGTGACAAACCTGCAGCAGAGACGGTCCACACAGTGACTGGGCGCTTCTCACCACACGTCAACCCCCAGACAGCAGGGAAGAGGGGGAGAGTGTGCAGAACAGAGGGGCTGGGGGAGGGGAGACTGCTCTGGAAGGCTCTCCCTGTGGAAGGCGAGATCCAAAAACAGGCTGCAGAGTTCAGAGCTGCACTGACATGAAATCAGTCTGAGCCTGATCAGGACCCTTTTAGGGCATTCACTATGAACTGCTTAGGGGCACGGGGTGGCATGTCAGCAGTGACCCTTCTGTGACTCAGAGAAAAATTCTATTTAAAGAGAAAGAGCCAATGTAATAAAAGATCGACGTTTGGGGAAGCCGGCGATGGAGCTCTGCTCCCAGATGAGAGGCGCAGACTTGAGGTCCCTGTTAGGAAGAGTGACATGGTGACAAGTGTATAAATGTTTCTCTGATTTTCATCAGAGTGAGAAAACAGTTATAACCTGACTTGCAAAAAACAAAAGGAACCAACACACAGACTCTCCCTCCCGCTTCCTGAAGCGCCACCGGCCAGAGCCCCGGGTCAATCATCTACCAGGTTTGTTCTTGCCGTCCCTAAATCCTGTCAACCATGACCCTGTCCTCCCCTGCCTGGATCCTTTCTGCTCTCCGGTGGCCCTGGTGGAACGTTCTGGCAATGCAAAGCACTGTTAGGAGACAGGAATGAACAGGATCCGCGTCCCAGGCCGAGGACTTTAAAGACCACTTTTACGTGTTCAGAGTCCCTTCGCCAAGCGTGCTGCCCATGGCCTGGCCACCTGCAAGCCCAGCCAGCCCGGTGACTCGATTTAGTGGCACTGCACTGACTCACTGGTGCAGGGGACATGAAGGTAACCAACTCTACAAATCTTCTGGGGGCCACCAGGACATATGACCTGCTGAGACCAGATGCCCAGCTCAGGGAGCCAGACCTCCCTACCCACCCTCTCCTGGCCTCTCTTCCTTCCAAGGAGTGGGCGCGACATGCCCCATGACTTCACCCCCTGAACACCATCGCCACTGGGAGATGTTTCCCAAGCACATGGGGACTCACCCACGTTAATTTTTCTTTTTCTTTTCTTTTCTTTTTTTTTTTTTTTTTTGTGCCAGGGATTGAACCCAAGGGTCCTTGATCACTTAATCCCTGAGCCACATCCCCAACTCTTTTTATTTTTATTTTTTAAATTTTGAGACAGGGTCTTGCTAGGTTGCTTACTGCCTTACTATATTAGTGAGGCTGGCCTCGAACCTGTGATCCTCCTGCCTTAGCCTCCCAAGCTGCTGGGATTACAGACACACACCATGACCTCTGACTCGCTTTGATGATTTGAGGCAGAAAATGAGGTGGCCTGGCAAAGGAGCCATGGAGGGAGTCGTCTTCCTGGCCTGATAGTTGCTCCTCATGTCTCTGGATCCCACCCAAGTAGGAGGGAAAGTCTCAACTAAGAAAATCAACATCAAGGGGCTGGGATTGTGGCTCAGTGGTAGAGCGCTTGCCTAGCATGTGAGAGGCCCTGGGTTCGATCCTCAGCACCACATAAAAATAAATAAATGAAATAAAGATATCTTGTCCAGTTACAAACAAAAAATAAATTTAAAAAAAAAAAAGAGAAAGAGAACCACCATCAAGCCCTGTGGTGATGCATGCCGGTCCTACCAGCAGTTTGGGAGGGTGAGGCAGGAGGATGGAAAGTTCAAGGCCAGCCTCAGCAACTTAGTCCCTGAGACCCTGTGTCAAAAAATAAAAAGGGCTGGGGCTGGGGGTAGGGCGCTTGTCTAGCCTGTGCAAGGTCCCGGGTTCCATTCCCAGCACCAAGACCAAAAAAGAACCCAGGATCGTAAAAAATGTCACATATGACGACCCTGCTTAGGATGGCACTCCCTCTGGGGCAGGCTGGGGAGCGACGGGTGAGGGGCACGTCCCTGTCCCGGCATCTGCTCATGTGAATTGTTCCCTGGTTTTCAAAACTGGGAGAGCCCCACGGGGAAGATCTGGATGAATTCTTTGCCTCTGGACGCATCCTCTTCCAACCCGGCAGGACGGGTCTCCTGGGGAGGCGGGGTGCTGCAGCGCACCCCGAGTCCCGCAGTCCTCGGCAGCGGCCCGGGCTGGGGCTGGGCTGGGGCGCCCCGACGCGCATTGTCCCCGCCCCGTCTACCTGACAAGACCCCGCTGCCCGCGCCGCGCCTGACCGATTCCCTTGACCCCACGACAAAGACCCTCTTTGTTCGCTGGTAATATCCTTAGCAGGTCTGTCTAGACTCACTGTGGCAGTAATTGTCCCGGGATGTCACCACGGTTCTGTGACCCGCTCAGGCAGGGAATGCTACAGACAGCCCCAGCCTAGCGCTCCCTGGCCCTCCACACCCACCTGAGCCGGTGTCCCAGCCCATCACCCCAGGTCTAGGGGAGCAGGGACACGTGAAGGGCACAGGCCTCCTGCAGGAGGTGCTGGGAGGAAGGAGGGGTGTATCTCAGCCCCTGGGGAGGCTGAGGCAGGAGGATCACAAGTTTGGGGTCAGTCTGGACAACTCGGACCCGTCTCAAAAAAAAGTAGCTCCGAGGCTGGGCGCTCCTGGGTCCCATCCCCCCACTGGGGTCAGCCACCATCCTGGGGAAACATTAAACGGGGAGCTCTCTCCCAACTCCCACTTCCCAAATGAGGCTGGTGGAAACAGTTCACTCTCTGTGGGGTGCGGCCCCCCCAAGGCACGAAGAAGAAGAGTCAGGAGAGAGAAAGGGTGCAGCGCAGAGACAGAGCCGGCCGCGGGTCCCCACTGGGGACAGGTGCTCCTTCCACACAGGAACTCTTGGGCTTCTGAAAATTCAGTGAGGCCACAAAGCAATGGCAGCTGGCACCTTCAGGTGCAGGGGGACACCCGTCCACTGTCGCCTGCCTGCAGCTGCTGTGGACACCAAGAACAGCCCAAGGCTTATCTTCTTGAAGGATGGGGCTGGCCATCCAAGCCTTTTGTAACAGGCCAATCTGCCTTCATCCAGGGCAATGGAAAAGAACCCACGGCAGCTGCAAGCCACCCCGGGGACACGTCTCACAGATCCCGAGCAGCCACAGGTCACTAATGGTGCCAAGTTCGAAATCGGCAAAACTCACCAAGCAGCGAGCAAGTCAGCAGAGGGCTTAATACCTGGGCCTGGGGCGCAGCCAGGAAGGGATACAAAGGGCTTCTTGGAGCAAACATGGAAGAACCACAGAATGTTCTAGATCTTGATCCAGACTCGGGGTGCACATACATAAGACTTCACTGATCCTACACACAAGTGCCTCCAGTCTGCGTGTTTGTTTTTAAAGGGAAGCAACCAGATCTGAGAAGACCAGCATCTTTTAATCCGGGGAATGGAGGAGAACCTCCTTATTTCATAAACTTCAGGAACAGAGTGGCACATGGAAAGGTCAGGCCTAGAGAGACGAGGAACCCAGCAGAAAGGGCTTTCCCCCAGGGCCACAGGATGAAAAGCTGCCAGCCTCCACCAGGAGCCCCGAAGCTCAGAGGGATTTCCAAAGATTGTTTAATTGATTTTTCTTCTATTTAGATGCAGATCGCAGTGTCTGGGGCCCAGGAATTCAGACACTCGGCTTTGTGTCCACTCAGCCCCGTGAAGGCTCCTGTCTGAAACTTGTACAAAGCCAGACACACAAGTCTTCAGAAACACGCTGTTTCTTTTTGTCTGGGGCTCCGGGGAGCGGGTGCGCAAGACAGGCCTCGGACACGCTCCCATCTGCAGGGTCCCGGGACCCCGGCCCTCCATCCTGCTTGCAGAGTGGGGTGGGAAAAGAAGGGGGGAAGCAGCCAAGACTCTGAGGTCTCGAGTAGGGGGTGATAAAATAGTGGGGAGGAGGCAGCTGGGGCTCAACACCCTGAGAGTTCCATTTGGATTTCTCTCCAAATCCAGGAGTCTGGGCTGAGAAGCATGGAACACTTTAAATCAGGCAGCTAATGGGCTGATTTATATAAGGGGGAAACATGTCTCCCTTTCTCTCTAGTCATTGTTCCCTAGCTGCCTCCAAACGCCCCATATGGCATAGAAATGAGGACAATTCTGCAGGCTGGCACCCTGCTCGGGACACCAGGGAGGACACCCCCTCCCTGCCTCCACTAGGCAGATTTTTTCCATTCCCAATTACTGGAAGGTGACAGTCAGGGTCATTGTACCCTCTCCTACAGGTTTAAGACACCTCCCCCAACCATGTCCCCATCTGGTCTCCCAAACCTTGGAGACACCTGACCAAATACCAGGGCCTCCTCAGGTTGGCCATCTGGAGACCAACCAGAGTCCCGGTTTGAGTAAATGCAGATGATTTTTGATAAAAAGAGATGAAGATTCCCTATTTGGATGCTTTCTAGGTAAAGAGGGGCCCAGCCCCACTTATGCACCTGTGCTGTGGAAACAGGTAACCCTGACATTCGTGTCACAACCCCCCAGGACCCAGTATGTAGCTCCCAGCCAGAGCTTGGGGGGACTTCTGAAGCCGTGCCACTCCCGTTTCCTCGTTGTGTGACCTCAGATAACTCCCTTGATCTCTTCCCCAGGCCTCAGTTTCTACATCCATAAAGTGGCCACAAGAATAACTGCAACTACCTTGCAGGGGGAATTGAGAGAATTCAAGAGAGCCGGGCAGAAAAAGGCACATGCAGCGGCGGCGAGGACTCTGTGAGGGGTGTGTACCAGCCTTGAATATTTCGAAGGAGACTTTCTTCAGGGCCAAGTATTTCTGGAGGAGCCCGGCTCCAGGCCCGACTCCTCCCCTCGGGATCTGAGTTACCTGGACTGCAATCCAGCTGGCGTTCACAGTGTGTTCCCCAAAAGGGCCGAACCCTGAAAAGTAGTAAGAGCAACGTGTTACCGTAGAGCGTCCTTCCCAGCCTGTCCCAGGACTTCTTTTGAATCCCAGCTCAGTGTCCCCCTCCTCTGCCTGTGTGCTTTCAAATGAAGTCCAGGAGTCCTGTCTTCACGTCCCCCTGACTCTCATTTCTCACACCCAGCAAGAGGCCAGGAGCCTCCATTTGCCCCAGAAAAAAAAGCTGGTCTCCTCCTTTCTCAAGTTCTTTCACCATCCTCCACCCACCCTACAACTATTTTATCACCCTCCAGTGTTCGGAGTCTCCTGACTCTGGAGACACAGGGCCTTAGGCACTCCGTGAATCACCGCTGTGTAAGGAATGACCCAAGTCATCTGCATGACAGTGACATTCAGCCTCTCAACTTTCCTTTAAGGCAAGGCTACTTCCTGGCCCCACTTTACAGGAGCAAGGACTGAGGCACAGGGGTCAATCCAGATGCAAAGGTCACAGTGCAAGAAGATGGAAGAGCCGGGATTCCAACTCCCATCCGGGAGGGTTCACAGCCTGAGCCTCCCTCTGCTAACCACGGGGTCATACTAAACTAAGCATCTCTTAGAGCAGGGCCAGCTGGGTAAGGGTTCCTTATGAGGTCAATGTCATGGGAGAGAGACAGTGCCCTGGGATAGCAGGTGGGAGCAGCAGTTCAAGAGGGGACCTCCGACTCCCTCCTTCCACAGATTCTTTGAGTCCCAGCTCAGTCACTTACAAGTGGGGTGACCTCTGTGGGCCTCCGTTTCTCTTTACACAAAATGGGACCCTGTGAAGATGTCAAGAACCCAGGAAAGGAAAATGCCCTGGGGCAAGGGATGCAGTTCAGCGACAGAACCCAGCACAGAGCCAGCCTGCATAATGAGAGCCAGAGTAAGAGATAACAAGACTGAGGGCAGCTGCAGGGGGCAGGGACGCTCCACACCTGTTAGGAAGGGGAATGGCTTCCTCCAATTTCCTGGGACTTACAGCAGGCCCGCCTCTAGACTCCTAGGCTCACAAAACACCTGTTGGAACGTTTTCTTTTTCTTTTTTTTTTTTTTTTTCTTTTTTGTGGTGCTGGGGCTCAAGCCTGGGGCTCCGTGCCTGAGGCAAGCGCTCTGCCTGATCTGTATCCCCAGCCCGGAGCGTTTCATTGACTCCCCCCCCCCCCAACCTCTCTGGAGAGCAAGTCAAAATGCCCCTGCACACGCACACACACTCCGGGGCCTGGCGGATGTTGACGGGCCACTTGGCCCCCGAGGTGGAGTCTCAGCGAAGAGGAACAGTTGGTTTCAAGAGAATCAGTGACAGCTGGAGCTTGGCGCACCGAAAACAATCCAGGCTGAAAAGGTTTTGGCTGAGACAGTCCCTGGGACGGCCAGGAGGGAGCCCGGCGCCCTCGGACCTTGAACCCCTACCAGCCCCTGCCCGAGGGGAGCAGCCCCCCGTTAACTCAGCACCGGGGAGCAGCGGTTGGGAGGTTCATTTGTCACGGGGGCACTTCCTGCCCGTAAGTCAGCCTTTGTCCCCTGGGGCCAGGGGGTGGGGACAAGCCCGATCTCGGGAAGGGTAGGAAGGCAGGGTCCAGTCCAGTCCGCTGGCTGGGCAAACAGAACAAGCAGGTAGGTCCCTGGAGGGTCACTGTCCTCAGGGGTACGAAAGGACTCCAGAGGGGGCCTGATCCACGCGGGGTACTTGCCCGGACCCTTCCCCAGCAAGTCCCGCCTGTCCTGACCCCCCGTCCCGGGGACCGCGGAGGCGCCCCCTCCTCCACTTTCCAGGTCGCCCGAACTGAGCTGGACTCCCCCGGGCGATGACATCTTCCCAACCTGGGACGACGTGCAGCACCTGCCCGGTCCGGCCCGCCACCCCGGAGCCGCCCACCAGCCCCGGCCGCTGCATACCGGTCACCACCACCGCCTTCCTGGGCTGTTCCATGGCGGGATCCGGCTGCGCCTCGGACCCGCTGCTGTGGGGACTGGCGAGTCCGCCGCCGCCCCAGCCGCCGCCGGGACTCCGCGCAGCCCCGCCCGGGCCCCGCCCCCGGCCCCGCCCCCGGGCGCCCGCTCGGCGTGCGCGCCCCCGGCCACACCCCCAGCCTCTCCCCCAGCCACGCCCCAGTCGGGCTTTCGGGACGCAAGTTCCCAGTCCCGCCCCGGCCGGGCGCTCAACGTGCGCGCCCCCGCAGGTTCCAGCTGTACCCCGGCCGGCCGATCGGCGTGCGCGCCCCCGGGCTCCAGACGTCGCAGGCGCAGCCTGCACGCCGCCACCCTCGGCTGCGCCCCAGGGCGCCCGCCCGGCGCTCACCAGCGGGTTTCCCTACCTGCCAGCGGGCTGCTCCGCCCCGCGGGGTGTGGCAGCTGACCGTCTAGGAGCCTGGCGCTGCGGACCCGCAGGTCGTTTGTACTGTCAGTATACATTAAGCGCCTACTGTATGCCTACTGCCCAAAATTGGGAGCAGGAAGAACCGGGGACAGTTCACCACCCGCTAATTCACGGTGTTTTGCACATGGGGAAACCAAGGCACAGCTCCAGACCATTTGCCCTGGGCCACTTCTGGAACTTGGAAGGGGTCACAGAAGCTGCATTCAGGCCAGGAAGTTGAGGGGAAGAGCGGAATTAAAGAGGAAAAGCACTGCCTACATTGGGCTGTTGCTAAGGAACAGCCCAATGTGGCCTCAGAGACCTCAGCTTCCCGTCTCCCCCACGCTGTCCCCAAGCCCAGCTGCCTCCCAAGGCCTAACACTGTGCCCTCTGCCTGCAACAGCCCCCAGGTACCTACCTGCAGCTGGACTGTTCCTCCTCCTTCTCCCTCCCCAGGGGCCCTCCCCAGGGGCCCTCCCCACCTTGTCCCTGGTGGTTACCTCCTCTGAAGGTCACCTATCTCCCGGTCACCTCCTGCAAGGGTTCTTTCCCACCCAAGCTGAAATTACCCCACCCACACCGAGGGTCCTTCTCATTTCCTGGTTCCATCTCTTTGTTAGCGGTGAAGCTCAGAAGTCACCCCTTTCTCCTCTCTGCCTTTCTGTTTAACTCCTCATTTCCATTGACAAAGGGATTAGACCTTCCAGAGCAGGAAGTGTCTGTTAGAGCTGCGACCTGGTACCCACAGCATCCCCTAGCGCAGGGTAAGCGCCCTGCCGACGTGCAGATTTCCTCCAAAAACAGCCAGAAAAGTACAGCTTGAGTTTCTGGCCAAGTCCTCAGAGACAGGGCTGGACCTTGGACTTGGATCTCTGGCTTCTCATTCCAAAGGCCTTGGCTCCGCCCCCATTCACCAGGACTCTGGGCGAGGACTGGCTCCCCCCTGCACCCTTCCAACGTCCAGGGCAGAATTCTCTGGACTGCCCCGGGGCTTTATTTGCGAGCTCAGGCTTGAGATCACATGCTCAGAAGCTATTTTGGTGTTTGGCAGCTTCAGGTAGAATTCAGAAAGTCTGAGAGCCAGCCTGGGCCGGTTGCGAGAGCAACAGCCAAGCCCATGAGAGCAGAGAGCTGACCAAAACACCCGCCCAAGTTTGTTGTTTTAAAATATTATGTGGATTTTTAACCTTTATTTTATTTATGTATTTTTATGTGGTGCTGACGATCGAACCCAGTGCCTCGCACGTGCTAGGCAAACGCTCTTGCCACTGAGCCACATCCCCAGCCCCCAAGTCGCGTTTTATAGTTCAGATATTTATAGGCAGTCTTCCCTATCCACAGTTTCTACAGCCACAGATTCAACTAACCCCTTATGAAAACTATTTGGAAAAAAAAACAGTATCCGGCACCTACGGACCCTTTTCCTTCTCATTATTCCCTAAACAATATGGTACAACTATTCACCTGGCATTTATATGGCATTAAGTATTACAAATCATCAAGAAATTATTTAAAATTTATGGGAGAGCATGTGTTTGGTGGCACATGCCTGTAATCCCAGCTATTGGGAGACTGAAGCAGGAGAATCACAAGTTCAAGGTCAGCCTCAGTAACAGTGAGATCTGGTCTCAAAATAAATAAATAAATAAAAACAATGAATCAATAAAAGGGCTGGGGTTCAGCGCTATAGTGCCCCTGGGTTCAACCCCCCAGTACTGCAAACAAAAAACTCATAAAATGAAATCTATGGGAGGGTGGGCATAGGTTCTGCACAAATATCATGCTCTTTGATAGGAGGGACTTGAGCATCCAGATTTTGGTATCTGCAGAGGGTCCCGGAGCCTGTTCCCTGCGTCTATCAGGAATGACTGTAAGAAATGCCTGGTGCAGAGTCTCTTGCTAGGAATTGGGGACAGGCAGAGAGAGAGCCCGTGGCAGTTTGCCATTTCCCCTGCTGCACTGACAGAGGGTGACAGGAAGCAAAAACTCAGAGTCAGAGTGATGGGGAGAAATGGAGTCACACACTACTGTCCCATGTGACCGCTGATAAAGGGGAATCTTCAAGAACTGACCACACACAGGCTCGGAGCTAAGCACTTACAAAATCTCTCTCTCTCTCTCTCTCTCTCTCTCTCTCTCTTTTTTTTTTTTTTTTTTGTACCAGGGATTAAACCCAGGGACTCTTTTTTTTTTTAATATTTATTTTTTAGATGTAGATGGACACAATACAATGCCTTTATTTTTATGTGGTGCTGAGGATCGAACCCGGGTCTCGCCCCTGCTCGGGCAGTGCTCCACAGCTGAGCCACAATCCCAGCCCCTAAACCCGGAAACTTTTAACCACTGAGCCCCATCCCCCGCCCTTTTTATTTTATTTTTATTCTTTTTTATTTAGAGACAGGGTCTGGCTGAGTTGGTTAGGACCTCACGAAGTTGCTGGGGCTGGCTCTGAACTCTCAATCCTGCTGCCTCGGCCTCCCTAGCCGCTGGGACTACAGGCCTGCACTGCCGTCCTGGCTGGGAGGGACTATTTTTAGCCCATTCTGCAAAGTGAGCCAACTGAAACCCAGAGTAGTCAAGTCCCAGGTCCCACACGGGTGGGGCTGGGATTTGCAGCAGAAGTGAACAGACACATCCTTAGGGGAAGACGGTCCTCCCCAAAGTCCTTACTGGAGCTGCCAGGATGAAAGTTCAAGGGCAATCTGCAACAGTCCACCTGAGCAGGTGGAGGTGGAGGGCAGCAGGAGGAGGGGGTGGGAGGGGGGTGGGGAATGGGAGGGGTGGCCCCTGGGTAGGGTGCTTGCCCAACATGCAGGAGACCCCGGTCCATCACAACAAACAACAAGACTCCCACCTCACTGAAAAGTCAAGTGCAATAAAGCAGGCAGCTGCTGCGGAACAGCTTGGCAGTTCCTTGGGAAGTTAAACACAGATTTAATTTAGGACCAAGTAATTCCACTCCTAGATTTAGAACCAGAGCAACTGAAGACAGGTGTTCACAATGTTCATGACAGCACCATTCACAGTGGCTAAAAGGTTGAGTGAAACAAATTCCCAGCAATGAGGAAGTAAACTGTGGCATAATTTATACTATAGAATATTACTCAGCCCTAAAAAAGAGAGTGTAATATGGACACATGCCACAATGTGGGTGAACCTTGAAAACACCCTGAGTGCCAGGTACAGGGACACACACTATAATCCCAGCAGCTCCAGAGGCTGAGGCAGGAGGATGGCGATTTCAAAGCCAGCCTCAGCAACAACAAGGTTCTAAGCAACTCTTGAAGACTCTGTCTCTAAATAAAATACAAAACAGATAAAACAGGCTCAGGGAGATGGAAACAGGCTGGGGATGGGCTCAGTCATAAAGCACCACTGCATTCAGTCCCTGGTACAAAAAAAAAAAAAAAAAAAAAAGAGTTCAAGTCCAGTCTAAATAAAATACAAAACAGATAAAACAGGCTCAGGGAGATGGAAACAGGCTGGGGATGGGCTCAGTCATAAAGCACCACTGCATTCAGCCCCTGGTACAAAAAAAAAAAAAAAAAAAAAAGAGTTCAAGTCCAGTCTGAGCCTCTGAATGAATAAATAAATAACAAAAATTTAAAAAGCCAAGTGTGTAATGCAAAATGTAAAAGAAAGAAAGACACTTTCAATGTGTTCGTAAATGCATAAACTATCTAAGAAAGGAAACATGGGAAATTAACAATCCCATGGGTCCCTGGGAGGGAACCAGGATGGGGTGGGGTGGATGAGTACCCCAGTGGATGGAGTACCCTAATGTGTTTTGCATCCTATACACACATTAACCACTCAGAAATAAGTATATACATCTTCCTTTTTCTTAAAAAAAAAAATAGAGTTTTTTAAATTGTTGATAAATACTATAACATAAAATTTACCATCTGAACCATTTGAATGTCTAGTTCAGCAGCATTAAGAATAGTCATAATTGCCAGGTGGGGGAGGCTGAAGCAGGAGGATCTCAAGTTCAAAGCCGGCCTCAGCAACTTAGAGGCCCGAAGCAACTCAGCAAGACCCTGTCTTTATTTATTTTTTTTAAAGAGAGTGAGAGAGGAGAGAGAGAGAGAGAGAGAGAGAGAATCTTCCAACATTTATTTTCTAGTTCTCGGCGGACACAACATCTTTGTTTGTATGTGGTGCTGAGGATCGAACCCGGGCCGCATGCATGCCAGGCGAGCGCACTACCGCTTGAGCCACATCCCCGGCCCCAAGACCCTGTCTTTAAAATAATTTTTTTTTTTTTTAAAAAAAGGGCTGAGGATGTGGCTCAGTGATTAAGCTCAATTCCCATACAAAAAAATAAATAAATTGGGTCACCAGCTAGTCAGCTTTCTGTTAACTGTAACAAATAGCTGAGATAATTCACTTATAAAGAGAAAAGTATATTTTGGCTCATGGCCAGAGGTTTCGGCCCAGATTGGTTATCACCATGGCTGCTGGACCTGTGCTGTGAAGCCACAGCACATCATGGTGGGAGTTGGTGGCTGATCAGGATGCCCGAACTCATGGTTGAGATGCGAAAGAGAGAGGAAGACGAAGTAACTAAGGTCCCCCTGTCCAGCACACCCCAGTAACGGGAAGACCTCGTGCTAGGTCCCACATTTTAAAGGAGCCACCACAAAGCTAGAAACTAAATCTTTTTTTTTTTTTAAAAAAGTTTAATAAATTTATTTTTAGTTGAGTTGGACACAGTACCTTTATTTTATTTATTTATTGTTATGTGGGGCTGAGGATCCAACCCAGGGCCTCGCACATGCTAAGCAAGCGCTCTACCGCTGGGCCCCAGCCCCAGTCCTGGGGAAACTAAATCTTGAATGCATGGGCTCTGGGGGACATTCCAGGACCAAACTGGCATACAAGAACAGATGAGGATTGCTGGGCACGGTGGCACATGTGATCTCAGCCACTCAGGAGGCTGAGGCAGGAGTATTACAAGTTTGAGGCCAAACTCAGCAACTTATTGAGACCATGTCTCAAAATCTCTGGGTTCAATCCCCAGTACCCCACCCTGAAAAACAAGAAAAGAAAAAGGAAAGAAAGGATGAGGGTTTATGAAGCACCAGTTTTAGCTAGATCCAGGGCTAAATAAAGGATGACTTTATAGTGGGGAAATGGCCAGGTCGTGTACATGAACCACATGGCTCCAGACTGCAATCCTAGAACACTCCAGCGAAGCCCCCAGATGGGCCAGGCCTGGGTCGTGTGTCCATGACGACGGTGGAAGGGAAACTACTGAACAGTCTCCTGTTAGAGGCCCA